CCGAGGATCTCAAGAAAATGCAGATTCTGCCTTTCTAACAAAGCCCCAGGTGGTACCCTTCCTGCTGGATCTCAGGCCAAATTTGGAATAGCCACAACTAGCATTTCCAAAATCCTACAGCTTCTAGTTAAAAGATGCAGGATACCTAGTTCAGTTTGAATTATCAACAAACAACAACATTTTTTTAAAGTATTAATATATTAGCATATCCTAAATATTGCATGGGATATACTTATCCTAAAGATTATCCATTGTTTATTTTAAATTCAGTTTAAATGGGCAATCATGTTCTGTTATGCTTTTTGCTAAATCTGACAACCCTACCTGAAGAATCACTTGAGTTACTTGTCTCAACACAAGCACACGTGCTTGTGGGCTCCTGGTCTGAAGCCAGATGTGCTAAATCGTAATTTCTAGGGCCTGGTAGTCTGCATATTTAACAAATACTGCCAGGTGATCTGTATCAGCTCAATTTGAGAAATACATAAACCCCCAAATTGGATTTGAGATTATGACCACCTGTGATACTTACGTCTCTTTTTTTTTTTTTTTCAAATTAATATAAGGCCACAGATTTTTAGGTGACATTGTTCTTACTTCCAAGGTAATGTTCCAGTTGTAAAATGAGCCCCTCACCCAGGGGGCAGGGTATACACTCATGCATTGTGCCATTAGGTGAGATCCTCCCAAATGCCTTCCCTCCTTCTGTCAATGTCCTCCCACCTCCCACCTTCCTCCTCCCTCCTCCCCCTGCCCCTGTACAAGACTATATTTGAGTTTTATTGTTCATATGAGCATGCAATTATTTATATATTGGTTTCATATTAGGTAATATTTACCCCTCCACTAGGCACGTTAGGAGGCTGTAGTTTGCTTTGAGTCTAGTCAGGGAACTGAGGGTGCTTCTTATGGTTTCGACTTAGAGGAAGTATTATTTGTTCCTACTAGTAAGATGAAGGCAAACCTTAATGATTGTGCTGGCATGTTTTAGTCCTATAGCAAAGTCTCCCCTTTTATACTCTCAGAGAATCAGAGTGTTCATTTAATAAAGGGGCTGGAGTTTGCAGAGAAAAGTACAGGATGCCCAGTTAAATTTGAATTTCAGATAAATTATGAATAAATGTTAAATATAAGCATCCCTAAATTTTATATGAGCTATACTAAAAAAAGTTCTTGTTTAGGGGGAAATCAAATTTAACAGGGTGTCTTATATCTATTGTTGCTAAATCTGGCAACTCTAGGCAGGACAACATCCTTACCAATGATCTCAGTGGGGCCAAGCTGCATACCATGCTCAGCAACACTGGGCAGCTGAGCAGAATTACCAGAGTCCTACTTAGATGAGAGTCTTTGAGTTGGGCGAGGCAGTCAAGAGGAATCTTAAAGCTGATAGGTCATTGGACAAGAAAATGAGACCTCCTTCAAACAGGGGAAATTTTTTAAAGGTCTCAGCCTCTGGGAAGAGTACCTAGAAACTCAGAATGGACACTTTGTGAAATGGAGGGAAATAGGCTTGGTATAATTGTTAAAAATGACGAGTTCTGCACAGAACAGAGTTATCATAGCAGCACCTTGTCCATCATAGGGGACTGGTAATGAGTTCTGCATCAGAGGGGACTCTAAACATCCAGGAATTCTACTTTTATAAGCATTGTCCTTGCTGCTCTTCCGCAAGGGGCCACCTCTTTGCATTCTGGGTAGAAAAGTTTGTCTTTCAGCAGTGATGTGATGGGCATTTGAGAGTAGTGGAGAAGTTAGTGCACCTGCAAGGTAGAAATGGGGAAAAGACGTCCCTGGAACATCTCCCCAGTAAGCAGAGAGGAGACCACCAGCTTCCAAGGCTGAACATTGTAGTCGTCTTGCTGCATTGAAGCTAGTGCCAAATCCCTCTGCAATTGTTACTTCTCAAGACTATTATGGATAAATACTTTTCTCAAGACTATTATGGATAAATACTTTTAAAAGGGTGGTTTTTTCCCTCAGGCTTTTAATTTGCTAAATCCTAATGCCTTGTTCAGACTCATGCATTTTATGTCTACATATTAAAAGTAAGATGTGTAGTCATGTCTGATCTTCATTATTCAATTATTTGTTTTGTATCAGCTGAGGCTCCTTGACCTAGATTCACTCAATTTGTATTTGTAGAGTTTTCCAGTATTAGCACTTCATGTGGTGTTTTATGACATAAGGCTTTATTTGAAAACATCTTGCTGAACTGCTGTTTGCTACTTCCTGAACATACTGTACAGGACAGAATGTAGCTCATAATAAAATTCAGGCTTCCTCTAGCTTGGTATTAAAATGCTGTGTTAGACATGTCAATTATATTAGGAGGCTTGTGTCTTTCCTGTAGTGTGATTAGGATTTCTTCGGGGGGCGGGGGGGATGAAGGGGAGAATGAAAGAAAGGAAAAAAGTTTAATTGTTTTTAATGAATCAGCCCCCTCTGGGAAAGATTAAGTTTCTGATACAGTACATAATTTAATAATCTAATTGTCGTGTTCTTACATAGCCCTCCTTTCACTCGCAGGAGTATTCTGTATGTCATTTCCAACTATACAATTGCTTTTGGAAAGTTTTTAGTGATACAATAGACTGCCTTCATACCTCTAGGAGTTTGTTTTCTTGGTACCACCTCAGAAAGCATTCCCAATGGGTTCTCTACTAGTGTATAGAAATTGGTGTTTTGGTTTTGTTTTTTTTTTAATGGTACCTCGGGGTGGCAAATTCATATGTTCTCTCACTGCAGGGAAACAACACAGTTTTTAAAAAATCACCAGAGGAAATTGCCACTGCTGACTTTCGTGCACAGAGGAACGAAACAGTTGCCATGCCTTTCCTTTTAATAGTCAATGGGCAAGAACTAATCCTATGGGGACATTCTGCACCTGCCAGATCTGTATTAAATGTATGAGCACTTTCTCTTATGAGAACAAAACACTTTTTTCACACAAGAAAGTGTTCATAAAGGATGGAGAAAAACTGAAAAGAAGTTAAAGTAACAGAGGCACTTAAAATTATACAATATAGTTCCTCTGCAGAAAACTTATCGGAAACGGCTTTATTTCACTTGAGAAGTGTTAGGTCCTGGTCAGATGTGCTAGGAGGGTGGGTGGGGCAGGGATGAGTTCCCTGGTGTCCTGGGGAATTAAAAGTTTTCCTTCCTCATAGAAAGATGGAGAGCCCTGCTTTGCATGTTTGCCACAGAAGGGCCACCACACGAGGTTGTATAGGTTGTGCATGGTGTAAGAGTACCCAGCCAAGGAGAAGGGTGGCGATGCAGTAAAATCCCTGTCATACTAGCCAGGTAGCAGGCCTTGGTGGGGGAGAGGCACCCCTGTCCTTCATCTGACTGCAGGGAGCACTTCTTTCTCATCTCATTGAAAGGACCCTTGGGTAGCTATTGAGACACCAACTGTAAGTCCCTGAAAAGGTGATCACAGCTTCCTCATGCACTCCCCCCCACCCCCCACTCCCCACTCCCTGCTTCCAAACCACCCAGAGGCTCTTCTAGGCTATGCAGTGAGTGACTTCACCTAGAGAGAAAGGACAGAGTAATTAGGAATGATGATCAGTCCTAAAAGGGCACCTCTTTCTGCCTTCCAAATCCTGTATGAGACAAAGTTGCAAACAGAAGAAACCATGTTCGTTCTGCTTCTCAGCAGAATTTCACAAAGCTCTTGACTCTGCCACCGGGCACAGCCCCCTGGAACAGTGCCCCAAGACACTAAGCCGGTTAGAGCCCAGCCTGAATAGCTGTATTTTTTTAAAAAAAAGATAAAGTCAGTGATCCCAGGCCTTGACTCTTCCTGTACAGAAGATAATGTCTGACAGAATGAATGCCTGTGCTTCTGTAATCTATCACTAGATGTACTCTCACTCCTAAACTTTGGGGAGACTCTGCTCCAATGTAACTTCTGAGCACACGCAGAACCTCCACCACCTAATATATAAATCACGGGCTGAAGCACTGCTGGGAGGCTAACAAGAACACTGTCATCCTGGGGGAGGCTGGAAGAAATTCACTTTAGTTCTTTGAAAAGCCAGCTACTTTCCCTTCGTTGACGCATAGTTAAGCTCTGAAGAAGTCTTGGGCAGTCATGAGGGAAAGAAGGAATTTCTTCAGGTACCGGGGCCGAAGAGACTTAGCCAGGATTCGATGGATCTTCAGAAACTCGGTCCGGCCCCGGCTCCGGCCTATGCAGCGCTACTTCCGCAGGTCACAGCTGTTTGCTAGGTGGGGTGACTTCCCTTTTCCTCTTGCTTTTGGAAAGACAGGCTTCTAGAAAATTCTCCTTAACCTATGCTTTGCTCTTACTAAGGAATCAAATACTTTTTCCAAAGACTAGGGGAGTGCACTAGTGAGAAGGGGACAAAGAGTAAAACCGAGTTCCATCTTGATAAGTCGAGTTTAAGTTGTGGGTTAGAAACTGTAAAAGATAACGTGTGGATTTTGCCTTGCGGTTTACATTGGGGGTCTGCCTAAGGTTTTATAGCTCACCTTGACCAGAATGCAGTTTGTATGAGTCTGAATTTTGTATTTTGATCCTGTGAGTCCAGGAAGCTGAGCCTCTAGGTACTTTGCTTGAGAGCCATAAGGATGGTAATATATTTCCACATGTATTTACATTATGCTTTGAAATCCACTTATGTGACCTAACGTCTGGGCTCAGGAATGGCTCCTGTGATAGAAAGTGTGTAGAGCTTCTGGCTTGTGGGTCCTTAGAGACGTTCCTTAATCTTACTGAGCAATTCATTGTTTCCTCGTCTGTGAAATGTGTACTTGCCTTATGGAGCTTCTGTGGAAAAGCAGTGAGGTAACACGTGGGAAAATGCCTAGCACAACAACTCAGACAAAAATGTTCTTTATAATTATTCATCAGTCAACTGAGGGTGCAGCCCACAATTGAGAGGAGCAAGTCGTGTAGCCCATCTGGAGTTTGTCTCTGAAATGTTCAGGAGTCAGGTGTAACGAGGCTCTTTCTCCTTCTCCTTTTTCAGCCACAGGACGAAGTCTTCAGGCTGGCCACCTCCCTCAGGAACCTGGGGCTTGAACCAGGTGCCGCCCTATGGATGGGAGATGACGGCGAACCGAGATGGGCGAGACTACTTCATCAGGTAATGGACTTCTCTCGTTTGTATTTGCTTAGGAGACTGAGCGGACCTAACTGAGGTGCTCATAGGCATTTGGAGACCATTACTCAAGCAGCTCGATCTCCTAGGCCCTCTGTATCTTGCTTCCTTGGGTTGCTTTGTTGTTGAGCCGCTGTTATCTTCCAGTGACAATTCACCACAGAACATGGTGATCCTGCTCAGAACAAAAGTCTCTTTTACTAAATACGAGGCCAGTTTTATTCGTTATCTGAGACTAATGTTTGATGTGGAAGAGTAACATTTAGAAAGGAATGTTCCTGTCTTATCTGTAACCAAAAGGGTTTATCATAATAGGTTTTATCAAACTTCTCACACTAGTATTGGCTTAGGTTTTGTATTTCTGTGGTTTTTTAAACTTGTGATATATATATGTGTGTGTGTGTATCTCACATGAAACTTTTGTAACCGTTTTTAAGTATACAATTCGGTGGCATTAAGTACATTCACAGTGGTGTGCAACCATTTACCACTATCCTTTTCAAGAAATTTTTCATCATCGCCACAGAAACGTTGTATCCATTAAACACGAACAGCCAAGTCCTTCTCCTGCCTTCCCACCGCCTCACCCCGGGACCTTCTATTGTACTTTCTATCCCTAAGAATTTGCCTGTTCTAGGCACCTCATCTAAGTGCAATCATACAATATACATATATCTTTTTGTGTCCAGCATATTTCACTTAACATGTTTTCAAGGTTTATCCATGTCATAGCATGTGTCAAAATTTCATCCTTTTTGATGGTGGGGGGGGTTACAACGTGCTGATTTTATATACAATTTGGAATGCTTACATCCAACTGGTTACCATAGCCTTCACCTCACTTACTTATTGTGTGAATACATGTATACTCTACTCTTAATAGATTTGACATGTACCCTTGCAATACGCACCCTAGGTGAGGTCCCACCGATTACCCCCCCCCCCCCTGGCCTTCCCCCTCCCCCCCACCCCTCGGCCTCCTCATCCCTTCTTCATCCTGGGCTATAGTTGTGTTTTATCTTCCGTATGAAAGTGTGGGTGATTATATATTGGTTTCATAATAGTTCTGAGTACATTGGATACTAGAATTTCCTTCTTTTTGAAGGCTGAACAATATTACATTGTATGGGTAGACCACATTTTGGACATTTGGGTTATAGATGGTGACTGATACTGTTGTGACCATTAGTGTATGAGAATCTGGTTGAGTCCCTGCTTTCACTACTGTGGGGCATACACGTAGGAGTAGAATTGCCGTGTGAAAGGAAATTTGGAAGTCAAAATCAAATTTTACATCTAACTTTTTGAGGAGCCATTAAATTGCTTTTTAGAATGGCTTCAGTGCTCTGGTTTTTTGCAGTTTTTATGAGAAACACATTTATACTGCGTTTCTCAAAACAGCAAAGATCTGCCCTGCTTTTTTCTCAAACCTAAGTGAAATACTATTAATCACAAGAAATTAGTGAAATAGATTTGAAATCAAGAAGTATTCGTGGCTTTAGCTAAATTATAATTGAGCAGAAATTGGTGGTCAGAGAAAGAAAAATCTCTAACAACCACTGGCTGCGTTCTTTGTTCCAGCCAAGCTGAATATGTCCTGATTAGTAAAGATAGGGTCACAGGATGATAGGGGGATCATTTTTATAAAAATACCTGCCAAGATTGTTTGGGGGGGGGGCTGGTCATGTGTACTCCCCTCCCCAGGTGAGGATTGTTGGGAAGTAGCTAGGGGAAAACACATGTGATCATTGTGGCCAATTGCCCGGTCTCTGTGGCCTAAATCTCTCCCCTTCCCCAGGAATGCTACAGAGGGGATAGGATCCCCCTTCCCAGCATAGTTTGTTACTGAGGGGCTTGCCTCCTGGATCCAACCCAGGAAGATCCAAGATGCCCTTGAACATGACTGGGGAGCAGTCCCCTTGGCTCTCCAATGCTTTCCTAAAGATGTGCTCACAGACAAACTGTAATAGAAATGGCAGCTGGAGCAGAACCTCCCAGAAAACTCAGAAACTGGAAAAAAGGCCAGTAGTTTTGCTCACACCCCGGTTTTGAATCATTAATTTCATAGCTTGCGTAAGTTCCTCACGTTGCTAGAAAGACGGCGTGTTTTTGGTGTATTGTGTCATCTATTTTCTAACATGGCTATCTGAATTTATGCAGTTGGCTCATGGTGACCTAGATGATCTGACTCAATGATACAAATTTTCTGCTGAAGAAATGTAATTTTTAAGACATGGATTATTTATTTATGAAGCTATGTCTCAGACTTCTCTGATTAAAATAGAGGCCTCTTTTCCCCTGGTTGCTTGTGGGTTCCCATATCTTCCAGGCCATTCGATCAATAGGTAGAAACCCAAACTGAGGTCATCTGGTTTAGAGGCTCTGCCTTCCTGCATTATCATTAGCATCACTGACATTTTTAAGCGCCAGACTGAGTGTCATTTTAACATTTACACTGGCCTAATGCCAGCTGTTAAAACGTGTAAGAGCAAATCAGGAACTTAATAGAGAAACCTGCACTGATTACTAAATGGCAGGTTTTAAAACCAAAGTCAGAGTGTCATTTTTCCAAATTTGTGTGGTTCCTTTTTATTTGAAAAGTAAGTTTTGGCTGGGTGCCTGTAGCTCAATGGTTAGAGCGCTGACCCCATGCACCAGGGCAGGCAGCTTCGAACCTGGCCCAGGCCTACTAAACGAAAAAAAAAAAAAAAAGAAAGAAAGAAAGAGAAAGAGAGAAAGAAAAGTAAGTTTCCGCAGTCCTCTTGGAGAAAGTTTTAAGATGTCAAGAACAGTACTTTGTAAAGTGTTTGTTCTTTCTTTATCACTAATGAGTTTTTATAAATAATGAGAATTATCCTTTTTTTTAACTTGCTAAGCAATGTCCATTTACAAAGAGGTTCTCCAATTATCAGAGTTTCTGGGAGCCTAAGTTTGCAGTATGGACTATTTCTATACTCATTAATTTTAGAAGTTAAAGGGACAATTTGAAAATTAATCTGTGGTGAGTAATTAGCACCTTTGCATTTAATTTTTCACTCTCTTACATATTCTTTTTGAAAGACATTAAATGCTTTCTTTTTTAAAATCTCATCTTAGGAAGTAAATAATAAGCCATATCAGACAATTGTTCTTGATGAAGGTACAACTATTTCTGAGTGAGGCACAAAGCTATGGGAGGAAGCGGTCTTCATGTGTTCAAAGTTAGTCTAATAGCTAAATTATAAGATAATTCTACCATTGTGAGTCTTTCAGAACATGGCCCAGGACAATTCAAAATATGTTCAACTTTCACCTTCCCTCTTCTATCCCCAATGATTTAGGGTAGGGATAGGTAATGTATTTTCTACAGTCACTGGTCCATAGGTTTAAAAAAATCAAGAATGCCAATGCACGCTAACAGACATTTGTGTAATGTTGTATGATCTGTGGTTCTCACATTGGAATAGACTAAGAATCAGGAAAAAATCCTGATGCCTGGGTTTGGGGTGGAACCAGGGAGGAGAGAGGTTGCAGAAGCTCCCCAGCTGATCCTAATGAACAGCTATGACTGCTGCTTTAAAGTACTTTCCTGCGCATGATCTCATTTATTTGGCTTCAACAACAGGATGATTATCTCCATTTTCCAGATCATAAAACTGAGACTTATATTAATCAAGTGGCTTTCCTAGTGACACAGGTGCCAAGTCACACTCCATTGCTTATTCAACTACACCAGATTCCCCGTTAAAAAAGAACAACTTTTGTTGGTATTCTTAGAGAAATATGAAATACAGTTGTTTGAGGAATAGAGTATTATCTAAGAAACATAACAAATGCCAAATAAAAATGTTTCGGTTCCCTAGTTTTATCAGTTAAGAGAGAGAATAGAGCAGAGAAAGAGAGGGAGACAGATGGGAAGAGACTAGAGGGAAAAGAAAAAGTCTCAAGAAACAGTATCCTGGTGAGAAATGAATAAGACAGTGAGAGCCAGGCAAGTGAAGGGAAAATCAGAAAGTGAGATACTCTGAGAGGACTGGTATAATGAGAGCAGCAATAAATAGTAAGTGTAGGTGTAGATGGAGATGAATAGAAGTATTAATACAATTATAGATATATATACATATAAATTGATATAGACTAGAGATAGTGACATAGATATTGATAAAGACAAGATAGTATAGATTTGTATAGTCATAGACACAGATGGGTATATAATATACATATAGGTAATATAGATGTAGCTGATAAAGGTATGGATATGGATATAGATGATTATATGTAGATATAAATTATAGATGAGTGGTCATACAACTACATCTGCCTAGGAGAGTCCTGAATTATGGGTATGGTTCTAAATAATTACAGACAGCCCCTCCTTTTGCTCTCAAAGTGTTCTGGTTTGCATAACACAAGAAAGGTAATTTAATTTATATAGCATATCACGCTATCATAGTTTAGAAAATTCTTGTAAGACATAAGATTTTATTTCTTCTTGATAACTGTCCTGTGAGGCAGTCAAGGCCCACAGCAGACTCTCCCTCTTGCTGATAAAGCTGAGGTTCACACAGATGGGGATGTCCACACCATAAGCTGATGGAGCCAGTGTTGCTTCCATATCTTCAGACTCTAAGGCCTTGGTTCTTCTTACTTGGTCATGGAGTTTAATCCAAACTAATCTCTCCATATGCTGTGGTGAGATTACCTAGCCCTGTTGAAGTGTGCTCAGCTCACCTCTGCCTGTCCCTGCCATACTCTTCCAACTCAGACCCTAAGACCTGAGCCTGATCAGCCTGCTTCTCTTGTTGTGGACTTCCTTCAAAAGTTCTCCCTGGCCACACCCAACATCCATCCACGCAGCATTTATTGAACATCACTAAGTGCTGAAGATCCGAGATGAGTAAGACAAGTTCCTATCTTGAGGGATTTCATGATGTGGGGGAATGATAAGTAAAATAATAGACTATCCTTTAAATATAGTGGAGGCCCTCAGGGGAAATTAATTCAAT